GAGGCACTATTACATCTTTATTTGCACACTAAACCGTGAAAGGTTGAACGACGGCATCAAAGACTGATTCTCCAGCTGTCGGAATAGATACGGCTACAGAAGTCATAGACCATGGTGGTATTGTCAGCACTTTAAAAACAATCAGGAAGTCTTGGAAGCAGTGGCTGCTCAACATGGGCGGGAAGGGCATCACCACGGCTAACAGAAACTTCACCCGTACCGCCGTCGACGAAAGCGCCACACTCTTGGAAGAAGTCAATGCCGAGAATAACATCATGTGTGCACCGTTTCGAAATGAGCAACTCAGTTGGGAACGCCTTTCCCGCTAACAGCACGCTGACTGCACATACTCCGACGGGTTGAAGTATGTCCCCGCCCACGCCATGAAATCTCCCAGAATCCTGATAGCAAAACATAACTTTGCAGCCTAAACTATCTTTAAACGAATTGCTCATAACAGAAACCATGGCACCAGTATCCACTAAAGCTGTTGCACACAATCCGTCTATTGACACACATATCTGGTTTTTGTTCATTGTAACTGGCGGAGGTATATGAGGTGAATCCTGTTGTGCGACCTCACCTCCATTGGTCGCGCCGGCAAATTTCCCGGTGTGGTGGTGATCGCCTAGAGCGACGCGTTCGGCCAGGTGGAGGTGTCAAGCTACGGTCAGAAGTGGGGAAGATTCAACGCCGGCTCTCTTGTCGTAGGATACGTGGACCACCAAGAATCACCATAACTGTGGTCACTCTGAGGAAGTCTTGACGATGGCTCGTATCTTGATGTCATCTCTCTCTTCCGATGGCAGAAACAAGCAATGTGTCCTGGAGCACCACAGCTTTAGCATACAGGAGGTTGACGATATGCATTTTGGAAAGCGTCGCGAGGGTGTGGTGACACAGGTGCGTATTCGTTCGGGTTCTGATAGTCGGCGGCCAGCTGTCGAGGGTAACTGAAGCAGCGCATGTGCCAGGTGTCTTGGTAGTTACTGCGCTGCGGCCTCGATGGTGTGCCAGAAATGTAGTCATACTCCTCGATGCCTGCTGCAGCAATTGATACAGAATGCTGATGCTTGTCGAGAACCGGCAAGGATCTGGCTTCACAAGGCGTCGCGCGAGGGTGTCGACTGAGTTCTTCACGCACGATCTCGCGTATTGTAGACGCAAGTTCAGAAGGCGCGTAGTTGCCAACACTCGCTACCGTGGTCACATAAGGTAATCGACCAAATTTGGGAGCAATACGCCTCATCTTCAGCTTCTCAAAAGTGCGACAGTGCTATTAAACATCGACTACTGTACCAATGCTGTCTTAATTTTGCCGATAAGAAAGGGATAAACGACTTTTGCGATGCCTTTTAACAGGTGCCTGACTAAGTCCTCCACGGACATGCATGAGTTAGCGGTATTATATAGTTTCAGAATCGCCTCGATATACATGATGCACGTTTTGCCTGGAACCTGGGCTTTTCGCAGCAGCGTTTGTTCGGCTTGCTTCCTCTCTGCCACGGTGTCCCCGAAATACTCCTTGATTTCGGACATGAAACGTTCCCACGTTGTGAGAGCGTCCTCATGGTTCTCATACCATGTGAGCACCGTGTCCCTCAAGAAGAACACCACGTTAGTAAACTGAGCTGCCACGTCCCACGAGTAGTAGTTGCTCACCCGCTTGTGAGGTTTGAGCCATTCGTCTATGTCCTCACCAGAGTTTCCCCGAAAGAACGAATCTATTAGACGCTGACGCTGCCAAAGACCAGCCGCAGCTGAGGTTTGTAGTAAAGGTGTTGGTGGAACTGGTGTTGCAGTGCCGTCAGCTGCGGGGCTCAGCGTTCCGTCTTCACCGTGAAACATCTCGACCGCCAGTGGTAACAGTGGCATCCCAGCAATGCGACGGCTTCGGCGTAGCTGAGGTTGTTGCAGAACCACGTTGCTTGGTTAGGTACCCAGCACCTCAGCCATTAAACTGTTACGGTTAGATTGAGTTTAACGATGTATATTTACAGACGAGATCAGGCGATGATCGGTAATGTGCAAACATAGTCCGAACCAACTAACTTTTTCTTCCTCTATTTTTGTCCCAAACCATGGCCCGGCTCTGACCGTATTACTATAATCAATATTTGACCCGTCTCGTTGGTAATGGTCAGCTGTCGAAACCAGTTTCGATTTGTTCATCTGTAAAGCAGGGCTGCCCATGTCACCACTTGTGTTTGCCCCTTACCTAGAGCCACTACGCCTAAGTATATCGCAATCAAGTTGTATTTGCGAATTCAATATATTAAGAACTGAAATTAAAGTATTAACTTATGCTGACGACGTAGTAGTCTTCTGCACAGATAAACCAAGCATAGAAAATGTGTTATGCGTAATAGACAAACTTGGCATAGTATCAGGAGCTCACTTGAACGCCTCAAAAAGTTTAGGATTATGGTTTAGCTCGTGTGGTAGCCCGCCTAGTCAATATGCAGGAAATAATTGGACAAGAACTCTCTCAACATACCTCGGTGTACCGTTAGATGCGCATAGATTGAGTGCGATACACTGAAAAGAGCGCGCCCGTAAGCTTGAATGAAAAGCCTAGACATTTGTTCCCCATCACCTATCAGTATTTGGGAAAGCTGAAGTTTGTAGTACTTCTCTAGCAACAAAACTCTACTATGTATTGCAACTTATTCAATGTGCAAGATTTTATGTACAACGATTTCATAGAATTTTCGCAACTTTCGTATGGTCTTCAACTTTTGAGCCCATGTGTCGTGGCAACATTTTCCGGCCAGTCGGTGCTGGTGGGTTAGGATCAAAACATATATATCTATAACAAACAGTTTCCCGCTTCTTTTTTTTTGTGAAAATTTCCATCCTGTAATTCATTCATTCTTGTGGGTTAATCTCGTGGATTGCTTCTTTTGACGCAGTCATTTCTTCAAAATTTTCCGAACTACCGTGTTTGGTGGGATTCATGCAGAAAGTTTACTCTGCAGTTAGGTTCTTTAAAGCTCGCTTTTTTAAAAATACTTGTACACAATGCCTCGTAAAGCATTAAACAAAGATTTACTATCTATGCTCTTTCCGCCTTTGTTGTATCGTTGGTTGTACTGCGATATGCCAGGTCATGATGTCTTGAAACGAGTGTGCAAAAAGTATCTGTCTCCAAATTCCAAAACATTCTTCCTTGAACTACATACTGAGACGCTGCCTCTTGAAATATGGTTAAAAATATATTTTTGTTTTCCTTTTTGACTGCCGCCTATGTGATGTGCTAGAGACAATAGAACACTGCGTTGTTAGTTACAAAGAAGCTATCTTGTTCTGGAATGTCCTTCAGCGGACCCATAAAAAAATTTTGTTATTAATTCTTATACTATCAGTAATCTTTTGCAGACATCGCTTGAGGAAGTGCCATTCGATAAGTTTTTTTCTCATGGGTATGCACAGTCTATGGAAGACGCGTATGCAAGATCGCAACGCAGAAACCACCATTTCGTTGACCTCACTTTTCATTAGATTGGCTGTGCCCATAAAAAAACATTTATGATGAAATGTACTTTAAAGCGGACTGTTAACTCATTTTGATGAGGTGCTGGGCCTTGACAACTGTTGTGTATAACACAATGTGAAGAACTGACGCGGCTCTTCTGAACATCATGAATTGTCGAGTTTTTCTTCAGTAACGCTAGAGCGCTTATTGTCGCTTTGTGATTATACCAATTTCTATACTAAGAGTGTCCTTTTTGATATTTAGCACACATTGTAATAAATACCGTATAGAAAAAAAACATGGTAGCTTTGAGGTGAGATACCTGCTTGCCACGCGAACGGCCCGGGTTTGATTCTCAACGACTCCGAAAGTTCTATTCTTTATTTTATTTGCTCCTTTCTCGAATTTTCGCTCACTGAAAATTTTTCGCTCGCAAACAACGGGGCCGACACCGACAGTGGAATTTCGGCAACACGAGCTCTTTAACGGTATCGCGTTAAAAATACACACCCTGCAACTCGAAAGGAAAGTGGAGACTGGCGTCTATTTGCAAGCGAAATACGATCCACCATAAAGAGTGACGCCGTAGGTTCGCGTCTGTGGTTAATGCCTAGACGCAGAGAGAGATTGGGGGTTTTATGCGGCAATACAGAGAGCAAAAAGGGGGTCTCGTTAACCGACTGTCTCACTAAAAGAAGTTGATACATAGCATTGTAGGTTGGATCTAGTCAGTTATTAGTGGAGGTATTCTTTGTCCTACAGGGTATTCATTGGTGTAGTTGTAGAAAATTTGTCTTTGACGCCAATTCTAGATTCATAGAGCATCTTCGCTTTTTCAGCCAATAGGCGTTTTGCGCAGATACTCCATCGACCAGAGCACATCAAACATCTCGGTGAATTATGCTTCGTTTCACGAAATAAGTTCTTAATCAATGTGTCACTCTAAGCAAAAAGCCTTGTTTCTTTGCGGTGCCTAATGATCAGTAATGCTAATGCATAACTTTGTCGCTTTTTCTATGTTCTCTGTTTCAGCTGTTTTCCCCACCTTTGGAAATACTAGCTTAACCCAGAAGAAATGGATTCGTTTTCTGTAGGGCTTTGTGTCACTCCAACGTAGCGATTACTTAGCTCTTGCAACTAAATGAGTAAATTTGCCCCCGAAACATGCAGAACTAATGAGCATAAGGCAACGAGCGATGATTTGCCAAAAGCCGTTGGCATTTTGCTTTGTATTTTGCATCGAACTTCGTCTCGCATTGCGCCACTTTATCTAGCATGCTGTAGTCGGGTGTCGCCAAACAATATTTTGTTTTTCATTCTGGCTAGCATCATTACATTATTATTATACAATGGCTTACTCAGCTATAAAATTTTACCCTACCGGAAGACAACAAATAAGCATGAGCTGGTTGATCAATTTTGTGGGAAATAACAACTAAAAATGTGTGAGTTGCTTGTGTACGCGCGGTGATATGAAGTAGTGAGTTGCTGCTAATGTAGCGCACAATTTGGTTCAATCCCGCAGGATACAATGACACGCCGAAAGTCCACGGAAAGATAAAAGACCTGTCCCGCTTTGACGCACAATTCTTCAGTACGCATCCAAAGCAAGCTCACGTTATGGACCCACAGATGCGATTGCTACTGGAGACGTCGTACGAGGCCATCTTAGATGCTGGTTACGACCCAGAGGCATTGCGGAAGCGCAAAATTGGCGTTTTCATCGGCAACTCATCTTCAGAGACAAGCGAAGCCTTCAAGCTGGACCGCACAAAGGTGGAAGGCTACGTCGTACTGGGATCACTCCGGGCTATGTTTTCCAATCGAATTTCCTACTCTCTCGACCTGCTAGGTAAGTAAACTACCATAGAATGTTAGATGGTAATTATCATCATCAGCAGCAGCTCGACTATGTCTATGGCAGCGCAGATGCCTCTGATATACCACCAATCAACCCGGAAGTGCTATTGTCGCTGCCTTGTTATACGCTGAATTGTCTCACTGTCATCAGCTCCCCCTAACTTTCTGTCTCCTCCTCTCACATTTGTGTTCTTTGGAATCCATTATGTTGCTTCAAATATCCACAGGTTACCATTTATGTGTGCTTTATCTAAGCACCTCCCTATATGACGAGCCACTGGCCTCTAATCTCGACTTCTCTCTCCGTCACACACACTGGCTCCTCAGTCAGAGTTCGTGCACATGCAGGGCTGGAACGTAATGGGCCGCTGAATTCACGTGTAAGCGGGCTGCCAGAATTTCAATGTGGTCGTGACCTCCTGATATTCACTAGAGTAGTATGCAAAGCATTCTAGCGCTGTTATAGGTTTTCACCACTATTCTGCCTTGATTACTTGGGAGGGAGTCAGTCAAGCTTGTCTTGAGTCATAGTTTTTAACAAGGAAATGTTTGAGGCCCCAGTGCACCAAGATTGCAACAACATATTTCCATCACTCAAAAAACGTTGAAAAAAACACGCACTGTCTGAAGACAATGAGTTCCTTCAACGCGAGGCGAACCCAGGACATCTCTGTCCGTAACAGTGTCACAAAACAAGCACTCAAAAAGGGCGTGCCGCCAAATTCTCGCGACGAAACGCCGGTGTGACGCCGCGAGGTCAACGATAAAAAAAGAAAACAAGCATCCAAAGACTCCACGGGCACGCGTCCTTCTCCCCTCGGAAGCGTGGGTTCGCCGATGAACCTCCTCTCATTGATGCCCGAGCAAGCCCTCGAATGTTCTAGATGGAAAGGGGCGTGGTGATGCCGGGTTGCGTCATCCGTCGCGGACGGCCTTCGAACAGTCTCTCCCTTTCCCCAGCCTACGCTGCGTATCGCACCGACGAAATGATGAGAACTTTCTGGAATCTCGCGCGGAAGGTATTTAATGGAGCAGCCGAGATGGGAGATCAGGAGAAAAAACAAGTTAGCGCCGGAGTGCGTTGGGTATCCCACCACGTCAGTCGGTGAAGGTTTTGTCCTTAGTGACAAAGAAGGAGAAGAAGCAATTATGCGCCAGAGCGCGTAGGGTGTTCCGCCTTGTGGGCGAAGCCTTTTGTCTTCCGTGACAAAGGGGGAGAAGAAGGGGATTTCCACCTGATTGGCGAAGGCTCGAGCTACAGGCAAGAGCGTGTGTCTGCCGTCATCGAGCGAAGACGCGTAGCAACAGCTGCGTGTGTGAAGCCGACGAGTTTCCAGCGAAGACGTTTGAAGCTTGGAGAGCGGCCAAGTGAAGACGTGAGGTTTTCTGGAAGAAAAACTTCGGGGGCAGCGGAACGACAACAACGCTGGACTTTGAGTGAGTGATTCTCGGAAGAGTATTATCCGGACTTTTGTTCCAAGAACTTTGGAATGAATAGGTTTTCTATCTCTTTAGTCTTGAAGTGTCTTGGTTGTTCAATGCATGCGATTGCATTGTAGTGCGTATTGTTGTCTGTGTCCGTTGTTTCGAGTGTGGCTGATTGTACTCTGTAGTACGTTGTTTGGTTGGTGACATATTGTATGCAACTATGTGGAATGTGCCTACTTGTGTATTGTTTTGATCTGCTTTAAGCGAGAATATTATTTTGTTTTGTTTATCAACTCTCGGCTCTTACTTGTTCTTTGGGCCACAGCCGGCGTCCGCTGGCGTGCCAACTAGGACCACCTCTGAATTGTCCACGCTTTCGTGGTGCGGTTCGGGGGGCCGATACTTCGGCCCTTGGAATTAGCCCGGCGATCGCCTCCCTAGTTAACGGGACCTGAGACAATTAATCTGGCGTCCGCGACAGGACCTTTTGGTGCACAGTGTGTCCAAAGTAGTGAGAAAGAGCCTCGAGTTGTTGATAGTGCTATCGGAACGATTTGGTGTGTTGTTCAGTGTTCTCGTTAACGAGTGCAGGGGAGTGTTCTCATAAACTGATTTAGGCAGATACTTTTTACACTCGGCAAGACTATTTGCGAGACACCATGGATCTCGAAAAGTTAGTAGCTCTTGCTGAGAAGATGGGTCTTTCTGGCGCCGAACTACGGAAGTGGGTCACCCAGCAGGAAAAAGAAATAAAAGAGAGGGCCAAAGAAGAAAAGGCTGCTGAGCTGGAGAGAGAAAAGTTGGCAGCCGTAAGGGCGAGAAAAGAAAGAGGGGCAGAGGAGCGAACGCTGAAAGAAGAAAGAGAGGAAAGGGAACGGCAGCGACAGCACGAAATGGAACTCGAGTGGTTCCCTTTGCAACAGACTCCGGTCCAAGCTAGAGTTGAAAGCAGCAAACGGGAAGATCATGGCTTCCGCTTGAACCTAAGCAAGCTGCTAGTAGCGTTTGATGAAAGGAAGGACGACGATGACGCGTACCTTTACAGATTTGAGACGATTGCGAGAAGCCAGAATTGGCCGGAACATCAATGGGCCACTGTTTTGAGTACTTGCTTGACTGGTGAAGCGCTCAGTGTGTACGGTAGGCTGACGCTGACCGATGCAGCCAACTATGCAAACGTGAAAACTGCTTTGCTGAAGCGATTTAGATTTACTGTGGAAGGTTTCAGGGACACATTTCGGACAGGAAAGCCAGCTGATGGTGAGACGGCTACGCAGTATGCCGCCAGACTTTGCCATTATTTTGACAGATGGATTGAACTTTCGGGGACAGCACAACAGTACAATGAGCTTAGAGAGCTCCTCATTAGAGAACAATTTCTTACTAGTAGCCACCCAAGCCTGTCACTGTACTTGAAAGAGAGGAGAGCTAAGTCACTTGAAGACATGCTCGAATCAGCTGATTGATTCTTGGAAGCGCAAGGTGGCACCGATTTGGCCAAAGTCAAGAAGGAGTGTCCTGAATACTCAAAAAATTCGGCACCCGAAAAAAAGAAGCGTGCACCTAAGAGTATTCCGCGATGTTTTCTGTGTAACCGAGTGGGTCATCGTGCGAACAACTGTCGTACAAACTTTACGAGCCCTACGGTAGTAAAATGTTTTAAGTGTTGTCAGACTGGGCACAAAGTAGACGCATGTCGTAACGGAGCGAGTCAAACTCACCAGGTATCCTGTGTGCTAGCAGCACCGAAATCCGATGATAATGCCGTCATCGACGGATTCATAGAGTTGAAAATTGGGGAGAAAATTCCTAATGTGGGTGCTGTAATGTCAAAATAGTCAAACGGTGTTACGAAGGGAATGCCAACGCTGCCTGGAAAGGTTGCGGGCAAGAAGATTACGGTTCTAAGAGACACCGGTAGCTCCACGGTTATAGTGCGGAGAAATTTGGTACGGGAAAGTGAGTTGACAGGCAGAACAAAACCGGTTTGCCTAAATGACAGTACGTTTCGAATGCTTCCCGAAGGAGAAATTGAGGTTGAAACCCCGTACTTCAGCGGGAAGTTTACTGCTCTATGCATTACAAACCCCCTGTACGACCTCGTCATCGGAAACATCGACGGGGCGCGAGGGCCAAATGATCCGGAATGTTTGGGAGAAGACCCGAAGATGCAGTCTCCGCCGTCACAGGGACCACGAAATACAGCGGAGAAAAATCCCATTACGGATCTCACTCGAGCCCAAGGTGAAGCCGTGGTGCAAAAGACAGTGAATGAGAAGATGATCGTGTTGAACGCGTTCACGGGCTGGGCCGCTGGACTTACGTCAGCACGACCTCAACCAACCGACAGTGCAAAGGTGACGAAGTCGGCCAGCCAGGCCAAATGTGAGGACATGAACAAGCTGGTAAATAAGCAGACAGGACCCGTTTAACTTTATGACCCGTTAACGGTGTCGCAAGTGACAACGGTGGCTGAGACGCCGCCTCAGATACCGTCGTTGGGAAGGGCTCACCGAAAAACAAACGAGGAAAGACAAGAAGAGGTCGAGCGAGCACCGCAAGAAAGGGCGCAAGCGCCGCTCAAGGTGGAATCGAATTGTGTTTGGCAGGGCTGAGTGCAATATGTTGTGTTAATGTGGGTGTTATCCTGTGACACAAGTGTCGAAGTGTTTGTGCTGTGACGTGATGTATAGGATTGTACAATTGTTGTAATGAGAGAACTTTATACAATTGTATTGTTTGGAATATGCGATGGAGCGTTGTACTCATGTACCTGCGGTTATATTTCATGTGTTGTGTGATTGAATTACAATGTACAATTGTATTGAGTGATCTATTGTGAATGTGACGTGTCATGAGCGACGGACTATGTCACAGTCTTTGAGAGTGTGGGAACTGTTCGCACTCGTTTGTGTGGTTTTGAATATTATGAGATAATATTCTTAAAGTGGGGGCAGTGTCACAAAACGAGCGCTCAAAAAGGACGCGCCGCAAAATTGTCGCGATGAAACGCCGGAGTGACGCCGCGAGGTCAACAATAAAAAAAGAAAAACAAGCATCCAAAGACTCCCTGGGCACGCGTCCTTCTCCCCTGGGAAGCGTGGGTTCGCCGACGAACCTCCTCTCATCGGCGCCCGAGCAAGCCCTCGAATCTTCTAGATGGAAAGGGGCGTGGTGATGCCGGGTTGCGTCATCCGTCGCGGACGGCCTTCGAATCGTCTCGTCCTCTCCCCAGCCTACGCTGCGTATCACGCCGACGAAATGATGAGAACTTTCTGGAATCTCGCGCGGAAGGCATTTAATCGAGCAGCCGAGATGGGAGATCAGAAGAAGAAACAAGTTAGCGCCGGAGTGCGTTGGGTATCCCGCCGCGTCAGTCGGTAAAGGTTTTGTCCTTAGTGACAAAGCAGGAGAAGAAGAAAGTATGCGCCAGAGCGCGTAGGTTGTTCCGCCATGTGGGCGAAGCCTTTTGTCTTCCATGACAAAGGGGGAGAAGAAGAGAATTTCCACCTGAGGGGTGAAGGCTCGAGCTACAGGTAAGAGCGTGTGTCTACCGCTATCGAGTGAAGACGCGTAGCAACAGCTGCGTGTGTGAAGCTGACGAGTTTCCAGCAAAGAAGTTTGAAGCTTGGAGAGCGGTCAAGTGAAGACGTGAGGTTTCCTGGAAGAGAAACTTCGGGGGCAGCGGAACGACAACAACGATGGACTTTGAGTGAGTGATTCTCGGAAGAGTATCATCCAGACTTTTGTTCCAAGAACTTTGGACTGAATAGGTTTTCCATCTCTTTAGTCTTTAATTGTCTTGGTTGTTCAATGCATGCGACTGAATTGTAGTGCGTATTGTTGTCTGCGTCCGTTGTTTCGAGTGTGGCTGATTGTACTGTGTAGTACGTGGTTTGATTGGAGACATATTGTATGCAACTATTGTGGCATGTGCATACTTGTGTATTGTTTTGATCTGCCTTAACCGAGAATATAATTTTGTTTTGTTTATCAAGTCTCTTCTCTGACTCGTTCTTTGGGCCACAGGCGGCGTCCGCTGGCGCACCAAATGAGACCACCTCTAAGTTGTCCACGCTTTCGTAATGCGGTTGGGGGGGCCGATACTTCGGCCCTTGGAATTAGCCCGGCGATCGCCTCCATAATTAACGGGACCTGTGGCAGACAGGAGATGCCGTTCACTGCGCAATCCACAAGCTATCCACTTCGCCACGGTTACACAACTGTGCAGGCTTTAAAAGCACGCCTTTTATCAATACCACTGCTCTCCCACAGTGCTTTGGGAAACGCGAAGTAATGCTTAATATCCGACATACACGAATAGATCGTTCAACGCTCCATTTCTACACGCCTTTTTTCTTCGGGGCATTTCCAAAAAAGAGAAGTGCAATTTAATAAACACACTGCCGATTAGAAACCTTCCCAAAGCGTCGGCGTCGCTCACAGAATTCATCCATACCGAAAATAGCCCTGTAACCACTGCAACGTACCTGTTTCGCCTGGATGTAAATCCGAGTTTTCTGCTTGCGCTCACCCCGCGTAAAATTGTGACCGGCTGACAAAAAAAATGCACAACGCACGTGCCATTTCCTCTATTTCGAAATGGCACACAGTGGCTCTAACATGTCGCCTAGAGACGACCTTAGCCAAATTTTGGCGTACAACCAGTCGCACTCTTCCGGGTTTCACATCACCCTCTTTGGTTTTGATCTCAACCTAAATACTAAAGCTACTAGATATATATGTAAGCACACGGGTTTTTAATCATTTTCGTGGAGGCTGGTTGTTGGACGAAGATGTATCACTAAGCATTACCTTGAATACTTCTACGTTAGACGGACACTTAGCTGTTAAACTCCAACAAACATTATCTATTTCTAGTATCAGACAGTTTCAGTTTCGCGTTTTTCTCGCTCCACTCAGCCGCTAAACGAGCGGGAACACGAGTGCCCATGCGCCCTCCTATACCGTATGGTCGTAGGGGGGTTAGCGGAGCGAGATGCACGTTCCGTTTACGGGCTGGCTAAGCGGACCGTCACTGCCGTTTTTGCAAGTGGAAGGAAGACACAGCACCCTTCTTTCCTCGTACTCTGGAATGCAACCTTGCTGACTCGTGGTTATCTTCAAGCCGACGCATTATTTTTATTAAGATAGCAATTATATGGACACTCTCAGCTGTATTTAGCTGCCGGTGTAATTGTTGACGTGGGCGTCGGCATCAGTGTCATGCAAGGTACATGTAAACGTATTTATATATATGAAAACGCAAGAAATGATGAAGTTAGAAAAGAGAGTCCGGCACGAGGAACCAGACGTGGCGCCTCCGCGTAGTGATTGCGATGCGATAACCACTTAGCCACCGAGGGGTACCTGCTTCAACGTTCAATCTGCAAGGTATTGATATAAACCTCTTATCACTGTTGGCGGGCATCTCGGGGGAACAGGGGGAACAATCGTGGTTTCAGCATTATCAGGAAGATGGTGCGATGAGAGCGCGGCGGCTCTCATCTCTCACACGTACTTTGGAATGCGAAAGGAGAGTAGATGATCTCTCGCGCGTTCTTATCTCACGGTGTGGAAGATCATAAGTCTTGGCTGGTGGCGTTGGGCTTGCGCTGGAATGATTCTGTTGTAGTTACGTGGCGCACAAAGGTCATAGATGTCGCACAGCCTCCGTTTGCGAAAAAGGTGCGCTTTTCAGACACACCAAAGTAACAACTGAGACGCTTATTTGCGTTAATCTGAACCTGTCAGTACATGTCGTGCGTCATTTGTGCGTCAAAAACGTGGAGCACGTTTCGATCTGCTTGCCATTCTGCGCATTATCTTTCACTTTGTTGCTTTCTCTTTCATGCTTCACCTTTGCGGCAAAGCTGTGACTTTTCTTTCGATGAAATAGACTGGTGACACATTTTAGGAGCCAGCCTGAATAGTTCGTGCACAATTGTATTATGGATACTTCTCTTACTTTGTAAAAGTGGTCCGTAATTTTGTTTAGAGGTGGTGAAATTGCTAAAGGGCGCTGTAACTGAGATAGCTCCCCTCTAACGGTAAACGCAAAAATAAAACAAGAAGATTGTCTGCCGCTCCGCTGCCGCTTAGCGGGCCAACTCGGAGCGAAGCGGCCCATAAAAACGTCAACCTATAACTCTCTGTGAATGTAAAGTAAACACGAAACTACTTCTGTAAGGACACCTTTTACTTTGCTGTTATACCGACTCGTATGATGAATGAATTAACAATTTTTTGCTCCTCATTTTACACCACAGTCGCTATTATATATTTGTTCAAGTGTCCATCGACGTAAAGAGTGTAATGCTTGTGGTGAAACACCAACAAAGCTCAAACGCAAGCTCAAATAGAGTTCATTTAACCACAACAACAATACTCTGGTAACGGCATTACTTAATCTTTCGCGCCCCACTGTGTCTAAAGCAATAGTCAAAAGTGAGTTTCCATAAATTGTTATTTGCTTATCAGTATGAAATGCAGCGTGAAACACGCCAGGAGAAGGTTTGAAAAAGACACAAAATTTGAAAGTTTTTGAGTGCACTCTGTTTCATCAATTGAACATGTACACAATTCGAAAGCTCTTGATATCTTCATGTTTAACTGATTTAATATATACAAAATTAAAAACCTCTTGATCGCGCCATGATTTTTTATTGAAAACATACAAAATTGCAAGTTCTTCAGCTCACCAGAATTTGTCGATTGTCCAGGACCGAGCATGACTATCGACACTGCCTGCTCGTCCACCATGGTAGCCCTAAGTGAAGCCCTGCTCGCGATGAGATCTGGACGCTGCGAGGCAGCCATCGTGGGAGGAGCCGGCCTCACCCTTGATCCACATCTGATGACAAACTATAACCTTCTGGGCATTCTCTCGAAAGATGGAAAATCCAGGCCCTTCGATACAAAGAGTGAGATCTTCATGGAGTGTAGAAACAGTGAAAGAGATATGCAAATACTAACAAATGGTGCAGAGACAAACGAGAGTACATATGCGGTTCCCGATGCTGGTTATGTATTTTCGGAGGAGACGAAATTACTATCATATAGTTGCGCTGCCAACATGCTTTTCGAGTAATCTTTTCAAACAATGCTTTTTGAGTAATCAATTAGAACAGAGAAATGATTCAAAGAAGATGAACAGAAAAAACAGGCAGACAAGTACCACTTCGTAAAACTTTGTTAGGTTACTGCTACAGGGATTAATGCTCTACAGGAATCTATGCTCTACTGTGTTTGACTATATACAGCAAAACAACCATCAAATTTCTTTGTTAGTCTATTCTTACTTATTCAGATTCTTAGTCTGTAACTCCTAATTACTTATAACAGGAAATTTAGTTGGTCTCACACCTTGCTCAGTAAGCATCCTTATTTATTCGAACTTTTATCTCTCCGCTAATTTTTCAAATTACTTTTAGTTTACAGCTCACTATTTGAAGCATTCTACCGCCCAGGTTTGTGGCCCATTTCTCTTTGAGAGTGAGTGCCATTCTTATAAGGTCATCATGATCATCGTCATCCTCAAATACGAGAGCTATAAATGAATGTTTCTGGTGAAAATTGCCCACCAACCAGTTGTGAATGCACCGTCGCACATGCATTGTTACACTTGATAAAGGCACCTGAAAAACAATATAAAATCAGTGATCAAAATGGCGTCTTCACAAAATCGTTCCAAAAATGCAGTCCTATCGAAGATTCATTGGCAGGGGCAAGGTTATTCTTTCATATGAACAAATCTTTTGACTAACCGGTCAGTACAAATACTCCAACGTCCAAACAAATGGGTTTCCTCGGAACGTGGCGCACAGTCGCATTCAGTACCACGTGCGTGCATGGACGTACTTTCTCGAAGCTTTACTTTTTTGACGTGCTCTTTATGATGGTTGGTAATGTAACGCCCTGTTTGGCCAACCCAACTTTTTCGACAGCTCAGTGGTATAGAATATATGACTCCGATGAATCGCTTATTCGAGATGAACTCATACGTTAAAAGGCAGCTTTGTTAACCTCAACCACAAATATGAGGACAAAAATTTTGGAGAAACAAATGCACAAGGCTACAGAGCAACAACAGAAAAAGAGAGACACAGAAGATATATGAACACAGAAAAAAGTAAAAGACAATATTTTTTTACGTTTTCTATGTGCCTTTCTATTCCACTGTAGAAACGAATACAACAGAAATAAAAAATCCACACAGAGAGGAATAGATAGAAAGAGACAGGCGCACGAAAAACACAAGCACAAGAGCTCAATTAAAAAGAGCTTTGAATAGAGTGCGATATTTTATAATACGAACTAGCTCTGCAATGTACATCATCAATACACAAACATCCACATTGACATTGTATGTATTAGGTTTATTGCTGATGTCTCAATCGATTCGAGGACAGCGTTCTTATGGTCTTGTGTCCACTCCGTACAGTAGTCCGCATTGTGTCGCCACAGTGGCTATCATGGCTCCTGCTACTAGTACCGGTCGGTCATTTAGTTTTTTATATAGCGGTTTTGATTAAACTTGCACTTCGTAGTGCGATGCCGAACATTCATATGTATTTATTAGTGCACACGCTAATGACCTACAAAAACCACAACCTGCGTGAACAACTTTACCGTTTGTCCACAGCTCCTTTTCACAGAAACCACCGTATTTTGCAATGCAGGCAATGGCTACGTTCGCAGTGAAACTGTGGGCGCATTCTTCCTTCAAAGATATTCCAACGCCCGACGTGTATACGCCAGAGTCATCAACGCCATAGCGAATGCAGATGGATTCAAGGAAGAAGGTGAGTTGCTTCAATCACATGAATCCTCATACTGTGTTTGGGAGTGCATACTGCCGCTGCTGAGAAATAGTGCAGGCACTGTGTGCTCGACGCACACGCGGAAACTTACCCGCAACGTTTAGAATGAAACCACTTCATTGTTCAACACCCGTAGTAGTAACCCATACCTGGTACAGTCGGCCTCTGCCTACGGGGTATCCTTTGATAATGCGTTCTGAATTGCTTTCAGAGCACAAAAAGCGCCGTGCTTTAGGAAGCACTTAAGTGGTATATTTAGAGCGATAATTGCTATGAAATCACAAGGGCGCGTGTGCTGTATTTGTCTGCTGCCGTCCCCACCGGTGTCCGTAACCACTATCGCAGAAAATGAGAAAAAAAATAAAACCATTCCTCCTAAAGGCAACCATATGTATATGAGGAGCTGTGAGCGCTGACGCTTACACTGTCACTGTAGCTCACGCTGACGCTCATCGCGGCGTTGCACAGGAAAGAAACCGGAGAAGGCGGAAAGCACGCACTGATATAATGGTGTTTCCTAGTGGAACATGCTGCTAACAGGCAATGAGAGAGAGAAAACTACAACTAGATAACCGCAGTCTGCCTTTGAATGACGCACGCGCTGTGAATTTCACTTTTCAACTACGCACAGGAGAAACTTGTACCAGCACTACCTTGGAGATCATGATCCAGTGCCTATGTAGGCGGGGGCGGAGGGGGGGAGAGGGCAGTGAACGGCTGTGCAGCCCGACCAGTCGGTGTTTTCAATGAAGAAACTTGCTAGCAGACGCTACCTGCGTCGTCGTTTCTAGGTGAGAGAAAGAGAAAGGAAAAGCGGAGGAGAAGACAGAGAGCGAGAGGAGACGTGCATGTGCAGTAAGGGTGGTCACGCCACACACAGGATTGAGCTTGAACGTAAGACATTCTGCATCTAAAACAAGTAAGGGAATAACACCAAGGTTCTAATGACATTCAAACTCGGGTCTTCAGCGCACCAGCCCAGTATTCTACCACAGAGCCACGCTTGTGCGGGAAACTACGTTGCAAACGGCCTTAGGAAGGCTTGATGCCTGGAAAAAAATCGCAGTAATATGAGTGAAAAGGGGTTTTAGAACACCGAAAAAGCCACTAGACATTATACAATGGGAACTTTGGAAAGAATGGGTTCTCTACTGAACAAGCCCATTGAAAAAGCTTCAGACATGATTCTAGTCGCCTGATTCTATCGCCGCCCACGGCATCAAAAAAATACACAAAATCCTCTGCCAGTATGCGGCAGGTACAACGCTTACCAGAAGAATGATGAAAGATGGCATAATGGATGCTTTCGAATTGCACAAATTTAAAAATATGATGCTAAATGGCATAGTGAGTATCCTGCAAGTTTGCTTGTAGCATTTACCCAGTTACGGGGGTTTATTGAGGTACACAGCGACCGAGAAGATAGCAACAGCAGCAGGCAACGCGCAGTCAGGGAGCGAACAGGCGAGCTAGCCAGGCGATGGTAGTTCACTTCCGCATGTGTCCATCTTCTTCCTCACAATAACCCCCAGTATCGAAAGGTAGCCATCTTGGCGACCTAGAGAGAGGCCAGAGAGTCATAATACGGCTTGAGACAGTTAATGTGGATTGTTTCTCGCCCCCGACGACGAACTTAAGAAGATTGCGTAACGGGTTCAATTACATAATTATCAGGAGAGGTCTGCGCAACCACGGGGTAGGGTCCATGATACTTCGGAAAAAGCTTAGACGAAAGGCCGGGAGCAGCAACTAGCGGGACCCAAAGCCACATGAGAGTGACGACGGTGAAAGGGTCAGGAGGGTTGTCGAAGTCGTGACACTGTTTTTGGCGACACTGTTGGTCGTAGGTGACAGAATGGGCCAGTTGTCGGCATTTCTCGGTGTTGTGAGCCACCGCAGACACAGGCCAGTAGTCGTCGACGTCTGGATGATATGGTAAAACTGTATTAATTGTGCTAGTGGGTTCACGGCCATATAGCAAGAAGAATAGTGAGAATCCGGTGTTGACTTGGGAGGCTGTGTTGTAGGCGAATGTGACAAATGGAAGAACAGGATCCTGATTTCAGTGGTCTGAGGCAACGTACATCGAAAACGTGTCACCCAGAGTTTGGCTCAATTGTTCCGCTAATCCATTTGTCTGTGGCTATTATGCGGTAGTAGTGCAGTGAATAATTCTGCTTTCGGATAGGAGTGAACGCAACACGTCTTAGAGGAATACACGGCCGCAATCACTGAGCAGTTCACGAGGGACGCCAAGGCGGAGAACAAAGCTGCGTAGAAAAAACGAGGAAACGTCCTTGGCTGTTGCGGCAGGTAATGCAGCGGTTTTGGCGTATCTTTTCAAGTGATCCACGGTGACGACAATCCAGCGGTTGCCAGCGCCAGTGCATGGCAGAGGCCCGTAAAAGACAATGCCGACGCGATAAAATGGGTGGGATGGGCAGGGAAGCGGTTGGAGAGGTGCTGTGAAGAGGTGCGAGACTGGTTTGCGTCGTTGGCAGGCGAGGCATGAGCGGACGTATTTGCAGACAAAGCTGTACATTCTGCGCCAATTATAGCGTAGGCGAAGGCGCGTGTACGTGTTAAACACGCCGCCATGGCCAAACGGAGGGTCATTGTGGAAAGTGGAGCACATATCGTGACGAAGATGGCGGGGTAGGACCAATAACCAACCATGTGCGGCCATCGTTGTGGTAGTTACGGCGATATGAAAGACCATCGCGGATAGAGTATTGCTGCATTTGGCAGCGTAGTGCTCGTGGAGCCGGGTGGTCAGGAACTTGACAGAAGTTTAAAATTGTGGCAATCCGTGGGTCATATCTTTGCTCCGAGGCCACGCCCAAGACGTCAAGTGGCGAAATATCGTGATTGTGACTAGATGCGCTGGCGTCTGAAATGAGTGGGAAGCGTGACAGGTCGTCGGCATCAGAGTGTTGTTGACCTGAACGATATGTGACCCGGATGCCGTATTCCTGTAGTCGTAGGGCCCACCGAGCAAGGTGACCTGACGGGTTCTTGGGGTTGACAACCAACACAGAGAGTGGTGATCTGTTACGACGTCAAAAGTACAACCGTAAAGATTGGGGTGAAACTTCTGAGAGCCCATATGATGGCCAGCCGCTCTTTTTCGGTTACGGTGTAATTTGTCTTAGGTTTTGTGAGTGCATGACTGGCATATGCAACCACATATTCGGCGTTGGCGTCATCCGTTGTGCGAGCTCAGCACCAAGGCCAACACCACTAGCATCACTGTGAATTTCTGTGCGTGCGATCGGATCGTAGTGACGCAAAATTGGTGGAAATATAAGCAGGCGTCGAAGTGTGGTAAACGCATCGTCACAAGTAGATAGTTCATTGTCACCTTGTAGGAGTGCATTGAGGGGTGTGATGACAGTAGCAAAATTTTGAACGAAGTGCCGAAAACAGGAGCGTAGGCCAATTAAGGTGCGCAGTGCTTTAAGGTTAGTAGGCTTCGGGAACTCGGAGACAGATTGAAGTTTAGCAGGATCGGGAAGAATGCCTTCTTTGGAGACGATGTGGCCTAGTATACTTAGTTATTTGGCGGCGAATAGGTACTTTTTCATGTTAACCTGGAGACCAGAATTTTGGACACAAGTGAAAACTTGACACGATCGTTGTAGATGGGTCGAGAAATTTGGCACAAAGATGACAATATAATCTAAATAGCAGAAGCAAGTGTGCCACTTCAAGCCACGTAAGATGCCGTTCATCATGCGCTCAAAGGCGGCGGGTGCGTTAGAGACCGAATAGCATTACAATGAATTCGTACAATTCATCTGGTGTTACAAACGCGGTTTTTGAGTGGTCAGTCTCAGCCATGGGCACTTGCCTGTAACCGGAGCGGAGATCCAAGGAAGAAAGTAACTCCGCTCCTTGAAGCAGTCGAGTGCGTCATCAATTCATGGCAACGGCCGGGTACACATCCTTTTGGGTAATCTTGTTAAGCCAGTGATAATCGACGCAAAATCGTATTATCCCATCTTTCTTCCAAACAAGGACGGCAGGTGATGCCTAAGGACTGTTGGAAGGTTGATTGACACCTCGTTTAAGCATGTCATATCTTTGGTCATAGATAAGGCGCCTTTCCCTTGCCGATACTCGGTAGGGACGCTGTCGTAATGGCGCATGGCTTCCTGTGTCGATATTAGGTGAAACAGTCGTTGTGCGGCCGAGTGCCCTCTCTTCGCAGTCAAAAGAGGACTAGAAATCATCGAACAAGCAAAGAAGTTGGTCTCGTTGTGTCTTCGTAAGGTCGCTGGCGATAGCTGGTGTGAAAGATAGCAGTAGTGGCCAGGAATTGATATTTCGAGGGTGCACATATCAGTGGGGTCGTCCATGGTGTCGAATATGGAAGATGACGCCAGCAGCTCGGCTTTTCAGAGGGTTTCCCGGCGTCGCAAAGGGATAGGCTTGGACAATAGAATGGTGATGTACATCACAGAGGTGCCTGAATGGAACTAGAGAACAGCAAATGGCAATGGCAGTGATCGGCGGCGAACTAAAAGTGCAGACAGTGCGAAAATGACTGAGCCGCCGTCTTCAGAGTCACAAGAAATGGAGACAAGAACAGTAGGCTAGGCAGGCACAATGGTGTCGTCACAAACTGTGATTTTCCGACATGTGTCCTTGTCACTGATGGCGCCTGTAGAAAATGGGAACAAGTTGAGTTCAGCATGGGCGCAATTGATGATCGCATGATGTGTAGAGAGGAAATCCCACCCTAATATGACGTCGTGAGAACTAGAAGGCAGCAGAGTGAATTCGGTCACACAAAGTACATCCTGGATGACGACACGGAATGTGCACGCAGCTGGTGGCTCAACGTGCTTCGCGTTGGCTGTATGAAAGGATAGTCCAGAAACAGGCATTGTGACTTTTCCGACATGGCGGCAAATGCGGGCATCAATAGCTGAAAGAGCCGTGCCGGTGTCGACAAGGGCTAGCGTCTATGTTTCTTCTAT